TTTGTTATCTTTGCAAATGTTATCTTTATCACGTATTTTTCTATTTTTTCCTCAATTATAGTTATTGAAGTTTGAATTTTAGCTAGAGTTGACCAAACTGACTAATCAAAAGTTTGACTTGGCCAGACTCTGATGGTGCTTTTCATTTGATGACACAAGTCGACACGAGTGTCATTCTATCCTTGTTGACATTCAGAGAGTGACAAAGATAGAACAACACTTGTCGACTAGTGTTATCAAATGGAAACCGTCCGATATAGGGTCTCTAGTTTTAACAGTGAAATCGGAACAATTCAACTGGGTATCAATCATGAAACTTTTTTCCTAGGATGAAAAGTGAAAAAAAGTGAAAAATTTCTCCATTAACTTCTAATGGTTAAAATTTTCACTTTTCACTTTTCATCCTAGAGATAAAGTTTCATGATTGATACCCAGCATTGTGCAACTCAGTGCGAGCGTCAGCAGGTCTGTTCTTTTTAGCTAAAGTTCTTGTACGGTTCACCTTTCTACTTTTTTTCTTCACGTTAGAGGGGAAAAAGAGAAAAGATAAATTGTGCAAGAAGTTCAACTAAAAAGAACAGGCCTAGTGTTGCACCAGACAGAGAGGCACTCGTTTTCTCAGTGGAAAATGCTATAAGATAAATGAGTTCACATGGTTTACATCGTCCATCCCTAGAGCAAAACTTTTTTTCTGTCAAATTCGATCATTTTGTGCAGAATACGTCAAATGTCTAATTTTATCATTATCAGAGGTGAAGTAGTTCAATTCTATAATTATCAACAATATCAACTATTTATTTTGATCCTGTATTTATGTATAGAAATATGCAATCTGAATTTATTTATTAGTTATTTAGTAAATTTATTTATCTATTAAAAATAATTAATAATAAATAAGTCTGTTCGCGTTGCTTGCACATTTTGCACTTAGCATTTTCGTTTTCTCTTTTCAACGCCCAAATATATCTACCTCATTTTAAGTTTAAAAATTTTGAGGAATTTTAAGCAACGCGAACAGACCTAATTGTTTTTTATTGATTTTTCTTTATTTGTTTTAAGAATTATATTTAAATTATTTTTACTAATATATTGAATTCTTATATAGGTTATCCTTAAAATATGAATTAATGTAAATAGTACACATACAACATAATATAATTTTATGTTTACGTATTCTTACATTGCAAATGATATGGATGCAGATATATTGAGAGCGATATTAAAAAGTTACACTGATGCTGAAAATTGTTTTCAATCTGAAGATTACAAGAATATGTCAAAGAAAACTTTTCTTTGTATACAATCTGATGCAGTATTAAATACTTTGTGTTTATCATTGAGCAATCTTTTGTGTTATAAAATATCCAAGGAAGCATATCAACGGTATTCAGTTCGATTGTTAATAATTGTATGTTGATTATTTATTAAAATATAGATTAATATATCTCATATTTTTTTAAGCTTTATAATTGATATTTTAGTATCATATGATTGTGTTACAGGATGTTTTACGGAATTGGTGCAGAACAACGAACAATTTTAAACATTTAAAGATATTTACATCTAAAGAAAATAGCCTTATGTTCATCAGTATTCTTTTAGAGAAGTATCTTACAGATGATATTTTGAATAAGTGCTATTCAGAAGATACTTTGATATGTTTAACTGTTTCTGTAATGCATCTGTCAGTGAAGAATACAACTTTTATGCATCATGTGGATCGGTTGCTTTTAAGACTTTTACAACTTGAAGCAAATTATAAAATTGAAAAATTATTATATAACGCTCTTCGTTCAAATTTACATCTTAAACTAAGTACAAAAGAAGGAATATATGCTTTACAAAAATTTAAATTAATAGAAGAACCTTTGCTCAATAGTTTTATGTGCATGTTTCCTAATTTGAAGAAAGAGGATGATGAGAATAACAAAAATAACGAGGAGATGCTAAATAAATTATTAGAACTTAGTGCCAGGTCTGCATATATTTTTCAATTAATGTTTAATTTTTTGAAGGAATTACTAGTTCAGCTGCAATATGCATCTGCAGTCCTAGATTTCATAGATTTGATGTTAAAGCGGGTATCTATTTATTGTGAAAATTATGATAAAGATATATTAGATCTTTATCCCAGGAAATTGCGTTCTTGTATAATTTTATTAAGGATAAATCCCAAGTATCATTCAGTGCAGACTCGAAAATATACATTACAGACTATGAAACAAATCTACGATGAAAATAAAAATGTTCCATTAATTTTAATGTCCCATTTTCTTGAGTGGCTTGAATGTTTTGCAACTTATGTCACTAATGACATTGATGATACAAAATATTGACTAGAAAAGAATAATATAGTAATAATTATTTTAATATAATTCTGTGTAATGTTAATGTTACCTTGTGTTTAATTGCAAAAATGTTTATGTATGATGTCTCTATATTTTTATATACTTTTTTAAGACATTTTTATAGAAGAATGACAAAAGTATATTTTAAAGATAGATCTTTATTTATTGTATTGCATCACAAAACAAATACCGAAATTCTTTCACTGACAAGAAAATTAAATGATAAATATTATATCTGGTGTCTTTATTAAATTCTAAAAATGATTATCCATATTTCTCAAATTTTGCATATTAAATGAACTGTTGAATTGAAAATAAGTACGAATCATAAAAAAATGTATTGTCGATTGCAAATATACATACATACAGAATAAGTCATTAGAAATTACTATCTTGGATATCTCGAAAGAAGGCATTATTTTTATGATTTGTTTTAAATATTTTTCTAATAACTCCTTCAGAAATATTCAAAGTGATAATTTTTATTGACTATAAAATATATGAAATTGGTAAATGTTTAATACAGCTTTCTTCTTTGATTTTCCTGTAATTTTGCAAATTTATGTATTTTTATACGTAGAATATATTCCGAGAAGGAAAATAGTTGCTTAAGTCTCGTTTTCTTATTACTGAATTTTAAAGTTTTTTGATGTCGGTAAATTGAAAAATAATAATTGAATAACAAAATGACCTGCTCAATGAGCAAATGATTGGTTATTATAGATCCAACCAATCACATTCAATCGCTTGACAAGCAGGCTAGCAGCTTTTTCTGGTTTGAACGCACCTATTATTGCATGTTACTTGTTTTAGCCTAATATTACATTTGTCGTATGACATTTCAAGCCTATTAATTGGCTGCAGGACAAAGAAATTATCGGATCTTTTTATCTCATAACTAATCAATAAACTTAAAATTTTTATCATACGACAAATATAATACCAGCCTAAGGGACCGCGTTTAGCGGACTTAATAACAGTTAAGTGTGCGCTCGCTGCTATTGATATATTCTTCCAGATCTAAAATGCTGATTGGATGATCTAAAAGAATACATCAATAACAGCGAGCGCTCATTTAACTGTTAAGTTTGCTGAATACAGCCAATGAAAGGAATAAGGAACAGGGAACAGAGAATAAAAATTTCAACCTATTAAAAATTGTGTATTCCACAATACATAATTTCTGATAGGTTGAAATTCTTAAGGTGCAGCCACAATAGAAGGAATAAGAAATTAGGAATAAGTAATAAAACTTTTAACCTATCAGATATTGGATACACTGGTTTCTGATAAGTTGGATTCCTTATTTCTTATTCCTAATTCTTTATTCTTTCTATTGTAGTCGCACCATTATTCTCTCTCCCTGTTCCCTATTTCTTTCTTTGTGCGCAACCTCTGATATTTTATTTGTGCGTTTTTGTACGACAAATTTTTCAAGCCTGTTGATTGGCTATGGGATAAAGAGATTCGAAGACTTCTCTGTTCTGAGTATCAATTATATAACTTTTTTCCTAGGATGAAAAGTAAAAAATGCAAAATTTCTCCACTAACTTCAATGGTTAAAATTTTTATTTTTCATTTTCCTAGGGATAAAGTTTCATGATTGGTACCCTGTACACATTTGTCGTTCGACAAAAGTGACTGCCGGTACTGAAAATCTATAGTGCACGTAACGTAGACTATAGCATTTTCAGTGCTGGCAGTAAATTTGGAACACGGCCCAAGCATCAATTTTAATCACGTGATCTGTTTTGATTCTCGAATCGAGCATCGAGTGTCAACAAAAATGCAGCCTTTAGGTAATTTCGTTTCACACATGACATATCATTTTATTCTTGTTGTTTATTGAATATTAAAGAAAGATAAAATGATACATCATGAGCATCATACGTGAAATGGAGCCTATAAAAGACATTCGCATCGCAGTATTTTATGGTTGTGACAAATTTTTTAACTTAATTGTCAACTTTTGTAACAGTTAATATTGATTAATATTGCGATTCAAGTGGGAAGAGTGACGCTTTTTTGTGTCTTTTTTTTACGTGAAAACATCGATTCAAACTAACAACATTTTAGGTGTTCTTCTTAACATTTATCACTTCTTTGCATTTTTTTTTATTTTTAGATAGATTTCCTTATACTGTAGAGAAATTAAATGAAGTGATAAATGTATATAAAAATATAGTAAGTTTAATAAGGCAAGGAGAGAGAGTCCAGCCTTTGGCTATTGTATAAGACAACTAATAATAATAGACCTCCCTTAAAAACCCATCAACACTCAAACATAGTCCATTATACTTTTTTTTGTATAAAATTATATAATAAAAATATTTATTTTATAACAAATTTATTTTTATATAGATATTTATTTAGATAACAATATATCTTCTATATAGATAACAATAATTCCATAGAAATCAAGTCAATGGAAGATACTGCTAAATATACTGATACTAAAGATACTGTTAAATCATCAGATGCAATCCAAGAAGAAACAGGTTTTTAGTAATTTTATTTATATAACTTATTTAATTTCTAAATTTTTTTAAAATAAATTAACTTTTACAGCATTTAAATGGCCACAAGAAGCTACTCTCTTATTAATAGAAGAGTATCGATCACGGCAAAATGATTTTATAAGTGGAAAGACGTCTCAAAAGAAGATATGGTTATTAATTGCCGCAAAAATGCTAAAACATGGTTACAAAGTTAGTGGAGCACAATGTTTATCAAAATTTTCTGGTTTGAAGAGAACATATAAAGCAGTCAAAGATTATAATAAAAGGTATGGCAGTGGATCAAGAACATGGACATTTTTTCCTGTAAGTTATTTTAAAATCAAAATGCTATGTATATATATATAGAGTACTTTTACAAAAATATAAACTTTAAATTAAATATTTTTTAAGCTTATGGATGATTTACTTGGAATGAAATCATCTATGTCATCTATAACCACTGTATCATCGACTGGAAAAAGATCACGAATGGAATCTATATGTAGTTCATCTAGTTCAGATAAAGAAGAATACATACAACCTAGTAAGATAAATGATCAGTTATTTAGGTTTAATCATTTATTAAACATTAATAACAATAAGGGCTATGAGCCAGATTTCAATATATTTAAATTTTTTAACAGACATTATCGTCAGATCACCTTCAGTGTATACAATATAGAAAATTAAACGTCAGATCACCTTCAGTGTATACAATATAGAAAATTAAACGCAAAAATTGATAAATTCATATATTCGGTTAGATACAAATTCCACAATTATAGTTACGCTAACATGATCGTGTTTCATATATTTTATGCAACAATATAATGTTCCCTCTTTTGTAATTTTTCGTAGCATTCAGCTATTGTATCAACTGAATGCTACCTATTGTTATTAATGTTTATCTATTATTATTGAGCCATTATAGTATCATTGATTATTTATTATTTATATTATTATATTACATTAACATTATTAATTTTAATAAAATGTAAACAGTAAAAGTTTTCTTGAATTTTAATTACAAATATTCTTAATACAAAATATATCATAATAACAAATATTTCTGTAATTTTTAATAAATTAATAATTTTGAATCCTAGATTGTAATAATTGGGATGTTTAGCGTGTAAAATTATTAACATAACTTTATACAATGTCTTTTTATTTTAGAAAAAAGTCGACGAACAACTACAATAGAAAAATTAATACAAGATTTTAAGAACACTAGTAAAATCGCAGAAGAAGCTCAAGAGAGAAGACATAGAGAAAATATAGAATTACGCCGGAGACTTCTTAATTCCTTTGATAAAATGTTAAATATTTTAGAAAAGAAATGATTTTTTAATTATAAAATAAAAGGTATTTATGACAAAATATACAACTTTTATTATAATACAATAATCTCACTACAAAAAAATAAATGGTAAAAAAATAAATATTTTTAGACATTTCTCATTATTAAATTATTACAAATTATATCCCGTTTTCTATCGCCTGCATTAATATTTCTTTTTTTAGTTGTTATTTCAATATCATTAGTTTCTAAAACATCTGATTCCACAATTAAAAATTCATCATTTTGTAGTAGACAAATGTTGTGCAAAACACAACATGCAATAATAAATTCTGGAATCAAATCTATACGCTCCATGTCTAAAGTTTTAAGCAAGCTTTGAAATCTTCTTTTGAGTAATACAAATGTTCGTTTAATTGTAATTTCAGCGAATGAATGACAAGAATTATAGTTTTTTTGTCTATCTGTTAGATCTTCATTTTCTCGAAATGGTGTCATTAAATGTTCATGAATTGTGTAAGCTGCATTACCCACTAAATGGCTGTCATTACTAAATTTTTCTGGATTATCTAAATAGTGGCAAACTTCAGATAAGCAAAATACTTTTTGACTAGGGACGGAACCGACATGTCCAGCAAGACAATGAGTAAATCGCAATTCATGATCACAAACAGCCTGTCAATAATAAATATAAAATTAATTATATAACTATTTTTGAAAAAGGAAAGAATTATATAATAATATTAATCATACCTGCAATTGTATACTATGCTGCCTTTTTTCATTAAGATAAGAATCAGGATTGATATGTGGTGTTTTAATTTTAATATGTGTGCAATCAATTGCTCCTATTATTCCAGGAAAAGCACTGGTTGCAGCAAATCCTGTAATAATTTCTTTTGCTCTATTACCTTTTGGCCATTTCACAAAAAGATGAGCTCGTTGAGCAATTGCTTTGATTACTCTTCTCACAGCCATTAATGCTGTGGCTCTGCCTACATAAAATTTCTCGCAAATAGGTCTAAAAAATCAAAACATAAGTAAAAAATACTGAATATGTGCATGCAAAAATAAATTAATACTTAAAATAAAGTTAATGTTATAAAAATATTATGAACCGATATGGATCTGAAGTAGCCATTTTCCATAGAGCAATTAAAAATTGTTTTTTAGGTGATATTCTTTTACGCCCACATGTTGATCTTATTAATGATGGTCTTATAACATCCAAAATATAATCAAACGTTGATCGTTCCATCCTAAAAAGAAAAAGATCAATTTTTTATGTTACAATCACGAAAAATCTATTTTCTATATAAATATACAGAGTGAATCAATAGAAATTATGAGATTATTTTGAATATCTCTAAAAAAAAGTATTATTTGAAATATTTTTTGAATAATGCTTTCTTTTAGATACATTTTCGAAGTAATAATTATAAATTCATATCGTATAATTAATATATAAATTTTGTGTTATACTAAAAATAAAGTTAAAACTTAGAAAATATTTACATAAAAATATACATACTTGAATTGTGACTTAAATTGTTTATCATTATAACACGATAGAATATTGTCTACATCATCTTGCAATCGAAGTGTTGATTTTTCAATAGAGTATTTAGTCAGTAGCAATATATAGTATCTTTCAATATCTTTAATATAAAGATTATAATCATTTTCATTATCATTAAATAATTCTAATAAAAGTAATGCTTTGGCAAATAAGGAAGAAATTAATTCCTCTTTACTCTCCATCTCCATCATGCAACCACAACCGGTTAAATAGTGAATTCGCACTGATTCGCACTATGGTCACAGTATACAGTAGCGCAACTCACCTGATTTTATGCTGCAAATTCCCTACTTGGAGGAATTTCAAATTTAATCTAGGATGAAAATGTAGCAATGAATTGGCAACATTGAACATATATGTCATCTGTCGATGATGGTCGATCTCTGATGGATAGGTACTTTGGTTCACTTCGTAAGAATAATAAATATTTTAAATGGATATAATAATTGATACGAAAGGTGATTCTGGCCTGATAAATAAGGATCAATTACTAGACAATGATAACGACTATGATGAGGAAATTAAAACCATCGGTAATTATACCCACTTATTTTTCATCTTTTTGTGAGGTTAATATTTTACAGAACATTTTTTATGATTTTGATTTTATTAAGATTATCATGGATTATTAAGAAAAATTAAGTTTACAATTCGCCAATCTTTGTAAAGATTATTGCTTATTTCTTACACTTAAAATATACGTCTCTATAGTCTATATTGTTTCTTTGTAGTAAAGCAATTACAGAAAAAGATTTTCATTCTTGAGCTAAGATTTATGCTTGTATTCATAATCAGGTCTTATATTTAAAGCTTAAATTGTCTTCAGATGGTTTACGAGTTATTATTGGCTACTGAGCATCCAAAGATCAATTTAAGGAAACCTGAAAGATTGGATTATGAATACGATATTAGACTAATACAGGCCTAGTTTATGTCATGCACTTGATACTAACTAGTAACTTTCTATTGAATTATCTTAATTTTGGCGATATATGTAAACATATATATGACATGAGTATTTAATTAATTATTTTAGTGCATATTATACCAATTTAATACATTATTCTTTAAATATATGCTGAAATTAAGACATTTTAATAGAAAATTATTAGTTTGTACATATATCAAATGCTCGATGTAAAACAGGTTGTAGTAATATTTATTAATTAATTAATATCATTAAGATCAATTATGATTAAAGAGTCATTCATTATTCATGTCTTCTTTTATTAGATGTCGATCTAACAAGGATATTTGATGCAAAATATTTAGGCATTGAGAAAAAAGAGCAGCCAAAGAGAAAAAAATTCTCTTCCAGCAAAGATTTCGATCTTGAAAAGTTTGAAATCGACATGGGTTGGAAATCTAAGAAAGTGACTTTTGATTTAACGGAAGAATTAGCAGATATAAGAAAAGATATCAATCCTGTGGATAAAATTTTAGAGAAGAGTGTTATTAAATCTGATTTTGAACGATTGCATGTTGTACCACCCTACGAGTTAAGCAAACGTCAATTGGAAATACACAAACGACGTGAGAAACGAAAGATGGGAACAGGTGCAGAATGGTTTAACATGCATGCACCTGAAATAACACCAGAGATTAGACACGACCTCGAAGTATTAAGAATGAGATCTGCGTTAAACCCGAAACACTTTTACAAAAAGAATGATATGAAAGCATTGCCGACACACTTCCATGTCGGCAAAGTTATTGATTCTCCAATGGATTTCTACTCTTCGCGTCTTACAAAGAAGGAGCGCAAAAAGACAATCGTTGATGAACTTATGGCAGACGCAGAGTTTACAAAATACAACAAGCGTAAATATAAGGAGATTATTGAAGAAAAGCAAAAAACACATTATAAAGCACATAAACATGCAAGAAGACTTAAAAGAAAGAAGAAGAAATAATACATTTATTATAAAAAGTATATTTTGTGTATTTGAGAAATAAAAAATTACTAAAAGTTATACATTCTCTATATTAATAATAAGGAAAAATAACCGAAGCACCATTGTAGTTGTTGATAGCGTATAAAAATTTATTTGTTTTAGGATATATTTATTCCATGGAATTGTATTACAATCTTTCTTATTCTCAATATTCTCGATCAAATATTTCGGTCTTATTTTAGACTATCTTCAGCGAATTAATGAATTAGATAAAATTGCCAGAGAATTCTTAATAAACCATATGTAGTAATTACATACTTCATGATGTTCACATTGATGTTCCTTTTTGATAGCTGTGTGAACATAAGGGTCCACTTAGTGCTTTAAATGCTACAGAGCATTTGTAGCACTAATAGAACTGGTCCATTTGACATTTCGGGACGCTCCTAGCAACTTTGATTATATTATCAGGTCATCGTTTTTGCTCTCGCTTCGCTTCAATTGCCTCACCTCGGTGGTGAGATGAGTTGACTGGAGCGTTCATGTAATAATTATAGTATTCGAAGCTAAAAATTGATGATTGATTGATCAATTTTTAATTTCTGACTTCTGATTTATGATTAATGGCTTATTGTAGAAGGCCCATAATGGACTAATCCATGGTGTAAAAAGCTTTAAAAGCTTTTTACACCATGAATGAATCCAAGCATAACGTTTGCAGCATTCGCAACATTTGCAAGAAGCAAGTGGACCGCAACCAAGATCTAATATCAAAATAACGTCTTAATAAAAAATATCGTTCTAACTTGTACTGTCATCAATCACAATCAAGATTGCGATCTCACGTTTTTTAAATCGCTCGACTTTGATTTACTCTTACGACCTTATAATTACTAATAAATAGCGCATGCTCACTTCCACTCACAACTGTTGAATTGTTCAACACTGCTCACATCGTAGTGTAGCGTGGTTGTGATGGGTTCGGGTTTTCTAACCTGAATATAGTCGTCATTTTAACGAGTCATAATATTCATATTTCAGTTTGCGGGGCAGAGTGACGCTTATTTCTATCAGATTCTTTTGTTTCATGCAAAAATACATTGAATAAGACTAATTTTATTGATTTTTGTGCGGGAGTAGTCCGAACAATTACCGTACATTTTTACTAATTTTTACTATTAAGACTTGCAGTGAAAAGTTATTCTAAATAAATACCAATTGCGATTATTGCATTTTTGTCTCAAAACCAACAAGGCAATTATGGATATACAAACAGCAAATACTCGAAGAAAAATATTGAGTCAAGTAGTTTCTAGTATTTTAGTAGAGTGTGGTTATGATACGTGTGAGAAACAAGTATTGGAAACACTCACCGAAATGTTACAGTCATGTAAGGGTCAAATTTAGACTTACAAGCAATTAATTTAATTCTCTTATAAATTTTCTTTAATCTTTTAAAATCTGTCGTTCCTTTATCTATTTTAAATTTATTATATATAATATTTACATTATAATATACAATTTAGTAGCAACATCTTAAACTCTTAACTATTAATTCTTCATCTTTTAACGTTAATTTTTATGTTTACAAAAAAGAATAGCAAAAATAATAATTTTAATAAGATTATATCAGATTTTTTTTTCATGAATGAATACAGTTATTGTGGAGATTGGTGCTTCAGGAAGAAATTATTGTGAACTTTCTGGGAGAACAGAGCCTCTTATAGCAGATGTGATATTGGCATTAATTAATATGGGCATAAAATTAGATAATATAGAGACTTACGCAAAACGACAAAGTAGGACAGTCCTGCCAACACTTCAGCAACAGACGCAAGCAAAACAATTGAATATCTTGCAAGCTGGTGTTAAGCAAGGCCATCCATCACATATACCAAATTATTTACCATCTTTTCCTGATCCACATGCCTACATTAGAACTCCGGTATAAATATTTATTAATTATAAGTATGTGCTACATATATATACATACATATGTACACACACACTTTACACGTGATAAAAAATTGCATAATGTATATGAAACTAATAATGGAAATATATTGTAGACACATAAGCAACCAGTAACTGAATATGAAGCAATTAGAGAAAAGGTAGCAACGCAAAAACGAGATATCGAGAGAGCTTTAACAAGGTTCATTGCCAAAACAGGAGAAACACATAGTTTATTTCTCACAGAAGATAATAGCATGTTTCCTTGTAAGAGAATTATCATTTATATTAAATCATTCAGCATTTCAATGATCCGAAGAAAAAATCTTATATATCTGTTTTGCTTTTAGTAATATCCTGTAAACCACAATTTCCAAGTTATATCTCTGCTCTTTTACCTCAAGATCAAATATTCGAACCAGATCCAGATTTTCAATTTGATTCAAGTCCTGTGAAAAAGAAGAAAGAGCAACAGAACGAAGATAGACTTACAGAGGAAGGTAAGCCTTTTGTACAATAAAACATTTAAATGATACAATTTTTATTTAAGAACTTAAACTAACTCTTTGCCTGCAGGTAACCAAACACAAAACGAAAATATGGAGCAAAATGGTGAAACTATTACTCAGCAAGATGTTATAGATAATCCATATTTAAGACCTGGAAAAATTCCTAAAAATAAAATGTCAAGTACAACAATACCGGGACAGCATTCTGTTCAAAAAGAGCTACTTGAATGTTAAGTATTACGATGTAATATTAATTACTATATACAATGAGATTCGAAAAGTTCATGATGATGGTATCTTTATGAATTGCAACTGGAAACTCGAACTCTTTATGTATAGATCCATATTTTATATTTGATCCGTTTTTATACCTGAATCATTAAATTAGACGATAATAATTTTATTTTTATTCTGTACTTATATGAAAGTATTTCGAAATACATTCATCACTGAAAATATATATTATAACATTCCATCGATTTTTAGAATTGATCCACGTCATATGCGCGCATGTTATGTACTCGCACATGTAACACATATTAAGAAATAATTATCATCATATTAAAAAACTCCATCATATAGCAATATTAATTAAAGCATGTAGCATATATTACATCATTTGAAAAATAGTTTGGAAACATAATGAAAAGAATGTGATTTAAACTATTATTGCCATAGAATTTACAAATAGATTTTCTTATATACAAGATAATCCACTTAAATTGAAAACTTTAAATATTTTATTTATTTTTAACGATACGAAAAAATTTCTTAAATGAAAGTGAAATGGTTTCGAGGGAGGCGTCACATATCACGCCACGTCTTAGCGCCAAGATACTACCGTGTCTCCAGATGTATATATTTTATAATTAACTTGTATAACTATATATACATGGCTATTTAATAAATATGTAATAATTACATGATTATATTTATTTTATAAAAACATTTTAGTTTCATCTGATAATATTGTATACAAAAAGTTAAGAATGTTATAAATACGTGTTACTTTTATAAATATGTTTACATATTTTAATATAATTAAAAAAAGAAATTAACAAAGAAGTGTATGTGTTTTACAATTTTATACAGAGTATTTCCTTCAACTCGAGTATTAAAAATATCTGTTAGTTTTAATGGTACAATAAAATATTAAAAGGAAAAATTGTACGTTAAAGTATCTTCTAAATAATCTAAATTCGATTTTTTTTGTAAATCTACCTGAATATGCAAAGTAGTTAGAGGAATTATATTACATGAAAAATTATGTAATTCCATTTTTTTTAATGGTGAGAACCTTGATATATCAAAAAATGTGACCTCAAAAAAATTTGTTTATTATAATATTTGCTCTTTCAAAAAACAACTTTTTCCTTTTATGTTTTGTAATATCATTAATATATTGTGGCGATTATATCGCCATTACTTCGGCTGAAGATGCATTCGCAAATACATAATTTTCATTCGGAAATATCACGTTCTCGGAATCGCATGAGAACATACGCAAATATCGAGATCTGCTTAGCTGTTTGACGCAGAAAAAAAAGACAACACAGAGACGGTTAAACCAGAGCAAAAACAACGAATAACGACGAATAACATTTTAATTAATATATATGCCATGACAATTCGATATCGCGGTAAAATATAATATAGTACACGTCGTAATTCGATGTTTAGAAATATAGGATATAGCTGCTGTATCTTGCATAGGCAAGAAAATAAAATCGAAATATTGCGTGGTATATAAAATCTGTAAATTGAAGCTTTCTCGAACAAATAGGTTTCTCCGAGATTGAGGTCAGAAATCAATTGTGAGAGGAGAGTGAAACACTCCTCTGGCTCTCGTTGCGTTTAGTTGTAGATAGATTTATTGCGCTCAAAATAAAGACTGTAATTTTTTACCAAGTTGAGTCGATCATTGGCACTGGCCACACCATAGTCCCAATCCCGTAATAAACATCAATATCGATATCAGAGATATTTTAAATGCTCAAATGAAAAGAAATACCCTGTATACTTATGTGTTATTGTACATACCTAGAGGAAATCTCTATTATGAGATAGGCGCCTAATATGAAATAGTGGCGTTTCTGTTAAACTAATAAACGCTAACTATTGATTTCATTATGAATTTATTGTTCTTGGATTGAAAACTATTTAGTGGAAAATTTAAATTATTATAATAGATCATGCCTGCAGTCGTTGTAAAAAAAGATTGTAGAATTTGAATATCAAGTTTCATTGAGATGAACTTTTAAACTTTGTTTATTTAATAAGTAAATATTTGGCAATAAATTCTTCATGTAGTGATGGAGCAAGATCGTACTAATAGAAAAATATGGAATATGTTGAATTGCTTAATTACAGAAGTTAGATTTGATGATCATAAAATTATAAGGCGTGGAAATCGTAATATGAAACACTCAGGATATCTCTAATATGAAATAATCTATGCTCCTATGTCATGAAAATCATTGCTAAAGTATAAATGTTATTGTACAATAATAAAAAGGATAACCAAAATGAACATCGAGTGCCTGTTTCTGCGATGCTTGAGTCCAATTACCTGAAAACGAGTCTTGGGTACAATGCGTCGCATACTCACACTGGCTATGGCTGTTTGTATTTTAGAAACATTAAATAAAGTTTTTTAATTGCAATGTTGATTTACTTTATGATTACTTACTTATGATTTTTCGGAGTATCTCATATTAGGAGCACAATTTTTTGATTTTGTGATTTGCTCACTTTTTTACATTTCTTTAATTAAAAAAAAAAAAGAATTTGAATTAAATTTTACATAAAATTATCTTAAAAGTTATTAATCTTAAAACTTATTAAATTTCCTTCAAAACAATCTATTATTTTTTAAAATTCCACCTATAGACTTCTAGCATTTATCCAAAATGAACTCGGTATCTCATAATAAGGGCCTTTCCCACATATATAAAATTACTTTTAAATAAAAGTATTAGAGATATTAGCCTTTTTAAATAAAATATGCTAAACTAAACATTTTTCATCTAATTACCTAGGAGATCAAAAATTAATTTTTAATTTATATATATATATTTGCGTTTATATTTATGATAATAAAATTGAAAACTGTTATATGTTAAGTTGTTCAATTGTCATAAAAAATATATTGAACGTTATAAAAATTATAAATAATAAAAAGTGAACATTAATTATAGTTGCTTATTTATTTATAAAGGCCCGTGTGTGTTTTAGAATTTGCGTATGTTTGTAACTATACATATTCCTAAATAACACGAATGACTGTTTGTCGACTTATAGTCGACTTTTTTTCTAGTCAGCATATAGTTGATTGTTGAAAGTTGACTTAAAGTCGGCTGTTCCCAGTTGACGTAGAGTAAGTCGACATTCTAAGTCATAAGTCGACATTAGAATGTCGACTGTTAATCGACTTTTTTTGAGATATTCGTCAAGTATTAGTCAACTATTAGTCGACTTCGTGTTGTTTGGATTATTTCTTTTTAAAACATTTTCATTAAAAAATCTGATCTTATATATATTGAACGAGCAAAAATAAACTAACAGAACAAATAAATTAATTTCAAAATCTGTTAAACATAATACATAGCACATAATTAGTACTTACAACATAGAGACACAACACACACACACACACACACATATATATATATATATGAATATGTTGTGTGTGTAAACACTAAGCAAAATCTTGCATGCTCTCTTCTTAAAAGATTTCATTTTTCTTGTATTATTTAATATTGATACCATGGCTGACGACGTACCCAGCGCAATTTCATACCGGAAGCTGTACGAATTTTTATGCTAGCACATTCCGCTGCGCGTACTGTCTCTTTCACGCTTTGCATGAGATTCTGAGCATTTCCGACAAGCATGTCTGTTGCTTCCTGATCTTCTTCTGTACCTGTATTAACATCATAAAAGCAACTATTAAGTTGGAAAAATAACTTTCTTGTTATTTAAAATACATCCATGTTTACATATATTTTTCTCATATAAATTTTTAAAATTGTTGTTATTATTGTTACGTGATTACAAAATTATATTTGTAATATAAAACTCTAAACACAATGCGAAGTAACAGCGATAGCGATAGAAACAGAGGAATTCAACATTCGGGAATGCATATGTATGTGCACACACTATAATCTTGAAATAGAAAAGTATACCACAGTCTATACGCGATCAGATTGTCCTTTTTATTTCTTTCGCGACATTGTACAATGGGAGATAATTATATATCGCTTATTTCTTCTATTCTTATCTCTACTATTTTTATTGTTGTCCTTGTGTCGCTGCTGCATTGTGTCTAGAGTTTAAGAATAATATTTTATCTAATGTATTAAATGAGACAATCATATCAAATTGAATGGATAAAAGGATAAATATGCACAATATAAACATATAATGTCATTCTAAACTATATAACAACCGATAAATATTTGTTGTAAAGTGAAAAGGAATTTTCTTCACAAATGTAAAATCTTTTGTGAAGTGTGTGTATGCGTGTCTGCGCGCGCGCGTGCATGCGTGCGTGCTTTACATGCAGGATATGTATGATAATTTCCCATATCCGATTTTTTCCCACAAGAACAATAAACTCCCTCTTAAAACATTGTATACATATCTTTTTATAACTAGCTTTGTTGATTACTGACCAAAAAATCGCGATTTTTGGTGGACTACCACTTCTGAATATTTATATATGTAGAATAGTTAAAGGGACTTTTTATGTAAAAAAAATCATATTCAATCAAATTTCATTTCTAAAGTGGAGGTGACTTTCATATCTTTTTGACTCCACTTAGAAAAGAACAAAGTGGCCAAAAATACGTTGCCCTCAAAATCGTTTCACTTATGTATGAAACAATTTTCTGTATCATCTATATTTTCGAGTTATTGGCTTGTCACATTTTACGTGAGCCACCTGTTTATATAAAGTGTTCGATAAAAACCGTAACAATGCTTAAAGATAGATTTCTGAAATCATTTTAAGGCAAAAATCCTAATATCGAGTCTATAACAATTTTTGAATTAAATATAAATATTTAAAATTGTTGAATCATCGCCTAAAATTCGCGCGTTCAGATATGATATGATACAATGAAAAATGTCAACCATATCTACCTTGGAAGTCTGTAACTCTTAATATGTATTGCTAGTGTATTGTTATGTCATTATTGCGCTTTTTTTACTATATAATATTTTATCGCAACGATAATTAATGATGCCAATACTATCATTGAGAGTTACAGAATTCCAGTAAACACGTAAACTTTAGGCGATAAGATTCGCTAACTTTCAATGTTTTTAATTAAAAACCTGTTATAGCCTCGACATTTTGATATTATCATTTTCGTTTTAAAATAATTTTAGAAATTTATCGTCAAGCATTGTTATGATCTTTACCCGACATGTATATATCCGAACATTGGATAATAGGTATGATATATATTGACATATTTCACTTTTTTGTATTCCTCTCAAGGAAAAAGTAGAGGATGCATGCTATGCTTTAAATGCTATGTGTATTGCATAACAATCAATATCAAGTTTTTAAACAAAAAGAAAAAAACATCAAAAGGAAAAAAAAT